GCTGGCTACATACGGTAGCCCATGGCAACCCACTGCCACAGGGGCTGCAGCCTACACTGTTGCTGGCGACTCACGGCAGCCCAGCTCCAAGTTGAGCTGTTGTTCAGCATCTTAGCTGTAGAGGGCAGTGTCACTGGCCCTCACAGCAGACAGTTTTGAGCAGCTCCTTGTGCCAGACTCTGTTAGGCGTTAGAGATGCGCTGTCAACATAACAAGGGAAATCCCAGCCTTCCTCGAGTTTACTTTTTCCAGGGCAGACAATCATGATACTCACTTAGCTAAGTAAGCAAACACTTACTCCATACCCACATCACAGCATTTTTTCTCTGGTTCTGCCCACAGACCCCCTGCCTCTCCCCTGGGTGCTGCAGGAAGTGGAGCTAAGGCTGGTGGGAGAGGCGGCCTGTCAGTGTCTCTACAGCCGGCCAGGCCCCTTCAACCTCACTTTTCAGCTATTGCCAGGGATGCTATGTGCTGGCTACCCAGAGGGCCGCAAGGATACCTGCCAGGTGAGGGGAAGCCCCAGCACCTTCCTGGAAGGGCCAGACAGAGCCCTATGGGTTCCATAGGAAGCAGTATGAGAAACAGACAAACACCATCTCTCTCATGTCGCTGAGCCTCATCTGCAAAAAGAGGACAAGATTGTCAATGGATGGAGTTGACTATAAATGGATAGACCTGGGATTCAACAAGTGGGTACTGTTATTTATGGCAGCATAGTGCAGAGATTACATGCCAGACTCCAGAGTGATGCAGCCTGGTTTGAAGCTCGGCACTTATTAGCTAGCTGTGTGACCTTGGCCAAGTTATGAAACCTCTCTGTGTCCAGACTTTCTCATCTGGAAGATGGAGATGATAGTGCTACCTCCCTCATAGAGTGGTTATGCTGATTAAATGAATTTGTATATGTAAGAGCACTTAGAGTATGGCCCTTAATAAGAGCTAAATAAGTAATAGCTATTATTAATTATTATTATTATTATTATTATTATTATTATTACCCCACCTCCCAGCTCATAGGACAGCACCTGTTACTTCATAGACAATAAATAGTTATATTTATAATGAATTATTCCTTCACCTGAGGGAATTTTCCAGATAACCTGCTGTGGGCCAAAACATAGTATAGTTTAACCATTTCCCCAGAAACCTTCCTTAAATGACACACATTTTTTTTTAAAAGATTTTTTTATTGGGGAATTGGGGGGATGGGAACAGTGCTAGGGAATTGGGGGAAGGGGACTTGCATGTCAGAAGAGGAAGGGGAGGTGNAAAAAAAAATCAATACTCCTTCCCACAAATGTACATGAGCTGTCCTATACACCATGCTCCTGACCCCCACAATACCCAGATTCACAGCCAGCACAGCCAAGAAATACCAGGTCAGAGCTAGATCAACATTGGTGCCATGTGAGCCTCAATTTCCCCATCTCACGATAAGTAGGTATCAGGACACATTGAGAAAACAGGTGACATAACAGTCACCATTTCTCTGGCTGTGGTCCGCAGAAAAATGGCTCCCAGAGATGCCCAATTCCCAAAAATTATGAGTATTTTACCTTACGTGGCCAAAGAGGCTTTGCAGATGTGATAAAGGGTGTGGACCTTGAGTAAGGAAGACGATCCTGGATTATCCATGGGGGGCCCCGTGTAATCACATGAATCCTTAAACTCAGAACTTTCCTGGTTTTGGTCTGAGAGAAAGATATAAAGACAGAAAAGGGGTCAGAGATATGCAATGCTGCTGCCTCTGAAGATGGAGGAAGGGAACCACGAGCCAAGGAATAACAGAGCAGCCTCTACAGGCTGGAAAAGATAAAGCAATGGATTCTTCCCAAAAGCCTCCAGGAAGGAGCACAGCCCTAATGCACCACCATTTTCGCCCAGCAAGAGCCATGTCAGACTTCTAACAATCAGCATTGTAAGATAATAAATTTGCTAGTTTTAAGCTACTACGTGTATGGTAAACTGTATCAGCAATTGAAAACGAATACACCCCCTACCACTCATCAGATCAGCAGAGAGCTGTGTATCCAGGTATTGCCTCTCTTACCCAGAGGCACATTAAAATAAAATATAATTATTTTATTGACTGTGGTTGGTTTAATCTTGGTGTTATTGGCTGCCATTAAGCAGCACTATAAAAGTCAACCTTATGAAGTTCTTTGTTGCTTTTGCCATAATTATGTGCTGAGTAAGATTTCATTAAGCCAAAGTGTCCTCTCCATGAGAACATATAGGAGAAATTGACTTTCTGTCCTAGTACCTGGAAGAGAGAGAGACTCCTGCTCGGGTTTCCCTCTGTGCTGGCTGTTAGGAAGCTTAAAGCAGAGATTCTTGGGGTGGAAGAACGATCAGAATCACCCGGGGAAATTTTAAACTGTACTTGCTCCCCCCAGAAATTCCAGCCTGTCTCCCTTGAGGAAAGTTCTCCCTCCCTACCACAAGACTCATTGCTTTGGCGAGCCCCTGTGGTATTTAGAGGAGCAAGTCCTACTCCTCAGATCTCTGGTTGGGGAAAGAGTTAAGAATCAGTCTCAGAGCAGCAGTTCTCCAAGATGGTCTGGGAACTCCTGGAGGGGTCCCCAAGACCCTTTCAGGGCGTGCCCAAAGCCAAAACTATTTTCATGACATTAAGTGTACTGTGTAGGTTTTTAAAGGGTACTTGAGACATGATATCCCCAAAGTCTGGGTGTGGAAGCAGATATGAGACTATGTAGGTTTTCATTAACATAACACAGATTTATGATTTTTAAGTGAATGAAGACGTCTTTTAAATATTTCTCGGTTTCAATTTCAAATGCAGTAAATACTGATAAATATAATCCACGTAAGCAAACACTCTTTGGATTCCTCAGTAATTTTTAGGGTGCAGGGATGTCCTGAGCCCACACTGTGTGAGAACCACTGAAGTGGAGCCAGCAGTTTGCGGGTGAGGGGCTTCATGGTTTGCACGTTTTGCTCTAACCGCCCTACACACTCTCTTCTTCCCAACCTTTAAACAATGCCGGTTGCCTCATTTTTCTGAGTGTTTGCGGAATAAATGACTGGTTCTTTATCCCTGGAGGGACAAATGCCTACAAACGAGTGCCCGAGGGGACTTAGAAACACTAGGGTTGTGTTAGCAGTGCCATCAAGTTTACCTTCCTTGTCTGCCATGGGTTAACGAAGGCTGCCAAGGTGAGCAGTTGAATCCAGTCAATTGTCTACATTCCCAACCTCCCACATCACCTCTCCTTTCCCCTCTCTCTTGCTCTCAATAAAGCACAGCATGTAGCCTTTCCCTAGTCCTTGGTTTTCTAGGGAAACTGGACTAACAGAGCAATATTATTATTAGCTTGTATTATTGGTAAGAAAATAGATATGTGTGTGTGGATATTCTTTGTCTGACCCTTATCAGACGTCCTCAGAAAGAGTCAGGAGGCTTTGCCAGAAATAAATGACCAAGATTTATTCGAGGGTCCTAGGGTTTGCTAATGAGAAACACTACCAGACCATACCCGGTGTTCCAAGGGAGAAAGAAAAGTCC